TGAGCTACCCAGCCAGCTTGGGTGAACTGATATCAATAATAAAATCCCCCTTAGTTCCAGTAGGTTGTTACATCCTAAATCTTTCTGAGGCATTTGTAGATGACTGTAAGGCTGACAAGAATACAGGTCAAAAGCAAAATCCAAATCCATCTCCACAAGAGAAAATGCCTCTTGTGGGAGTCTTATTATCCAACTGTTTCCATTCTTACCTGTGTTTTTCACATCAGACAAATGAAGGGCTTGCTCCAGTTTTCTGAAGCGGTCTATCCAAGCATCTTGTTCCTCAAAATCACCAGATGAGTCCTGATTCATCTGAGTACAAGTTTGGCCAGCAAGATATTTCTGCTGTCCTTTGTCCTTCTTCAAAGGAAACAAATGATATTTTCAGAAGGTTATATTTTGATGATTTTCTCTAATAAAGCTTGAGGATTTCTGTAAGAATCACAGATCTTGTTCTACAGGTTCCTCCTAGATTATTTTGACCAGATGGTTGGTTTAAAAGGGGTTAATTATATTTCTGGCTTCTAATCACTTGTGAGATTGAAATATATAGGTCCAAAGGGCCCTAGACAGTGCTGGGCAAATTGTCATCAATGTCATTCTCCACTCTGGAGAAACAAAATAACCGAAGTATTTTGACAGGACTAACCAGGATGGAAATGATAAGGGTTTCTGGAAAGAATTTTGAATTAATGTAGGGGTATGATATTATAGATAGTATTAAGCCTTTCACATACAAGCACTTTACAAATCAAAGTTTATTAACAATTTGTGTGTGTATCAATATAGTTTTGACAGTACCTGAGAATCATCTTCACTTTTCTTCTTATTTCTCCCTAAGATGAAACAGTGGTGAAGATATTATTTATTCACTTGAAAGAATATGATTCCTATCTAACTGGAACAAGGTCGTTTCAAGGAGGACATTAAGAAAGACTTCAAAAGCCACCAACATTATTACTACCAACTCTTGAAAATCACATTACTCTTAGACCAGTCAGCATTGACAGAATTTTCCATTTACTTGGCTTTGAGTTATCTTCATAACAAAATACTAAGAACCTGGAGAAAGGTACTATTATCATCACACATCAAGGAGCACACCATGTTTTCTCTTGTTCCCAAAGCATAGCCAATAATTTTTCATTCTTTTGTGTATGAATAATCTGTAACAAAGATGGTATGAAGCCCAAATGCAAGACCACAGGAACTGTGTCAAACAAGGTCAGAGATAGGGGGCTTGGTCCACTAGTGGCCAAAATGTCAGTGACTACCATTGGTAAGCACATTTCCTATATGGCTTGCCAGTGGCAGTCACTAACAAAATGTTCCTCTTTTAATACAGGTAAGGGATATATACATGCAGAAGCTGGTCCCCAACCATCAGTTGTGGTAAGGTGGTAACCTTAGGTGGCAAAGCATGCAGTTAAGTGGAAGTATGGCCACTGTCATCCACGCACCACTGTATGGACTGATCACCCACTGTTCTGGAGATTTCCTTTGCTGGATTGGGGGTCCATGGATCAGTTGCTTCTTTCACACTGTCTTAGTCTCAAGGACACCTGGAGCCAGAGGTTATTCAAATAGATGGCTGAGAAATGGCCACACTCCAGAAGGAGCAATCTAGCAAAGGAAGTCAATGCTGCTAAATTCCTCATCTTTTCCTTCCTTTCCTCCCTCTGTGTAAGTGTTGCATACACTTGGATGGGTGGGTCGTTGGGTGGGAGAAGTACTTTTCTTGCTGCCTTGAACGCCTTGCACTAGCCTTGTGTGCATGTCATGAGGTTGACAAAAAAACCTCCTATGCATACAATGTGTGTTGAGTGCATAAATTAGTGGCGGCAAATCTTTTTTGGGTTCGCATGCCCAAACCGTGGGGGGAAACAAAACCCAGTGGGTGGCATACTGCGGTGGCAGCGGAACCGGAGGTGGTGGCGAAAGGGAGAATTCTGGGCATGGAAGTACCTCGAGACCCCTCTCCAGATCCGCCACCAGTGCCAGCTGCTCTGGAGCCGCCTGTTGAAGCACCAGCACTGCAGCTGCAGCCGCCTTCTCAGGTTTGGCTGTGGGGGGGGGGAGTAGCGATCCGGCAACTTATGGCTCGCATGCCCGCAGAAAGGGCTCTGTGTGCCAGCTGTGGCACGCGTGCCATAGGTTCGCCATCACTGGTATAGATCATGGCCTAATCCAGCATATAGTCACTGTCAGAAACTGTAGAAATTGACTATGTGAATAGGACAGTGTATTTCTAGAATTAAATTTACTCCCCGCCTTTTCCATGTAACAATTAACCTGAAAAATGTGGAGTTCTGATTATCAGCCAGTGCAGCCCAATTTATGATGAATGAGGTGAATCCAGCAGATACCTCCTGGTACAGCAAATCTTTCTCATTTCTCTTCTGCCATTTCTATCCCCCTACAATGGATAGTGCTGTTGTACCTCCATTCACACCATTAAAAAAAAGAAAAGAAAACCACACAAATAATGCCTATTTCCATCTTGTCTTCCCTTGCTTACCCTGTCTGTTTCTCCATCTTTTGACTCTGCTGTGTGGCTACTGAGGTGTTTGGCTTTGAAAAATAAATGGCAGCAGAGTGCATTGTGGGATTGCATAAGGGAACAAAAGTGTGTGTACAAATAGAAGTGTGAAGAATCCTACTGGTTTTCTCATAAAGAGTGCATAACTCACTGTAGCTAATTGATGACTTGCTGAGGTGTGTCTTGGTCACGCAATGGTCATGTATCTAACTAAACAGATGAGATAAGCCCTGGCACCCCACCAGTTAGCTACAATTAGCCTCAGCAGGTTACACAAACCTTACACAAATGGCAACAGGATTTACAGCCAATGTATAATTTTCAATTCACATATAATCTTCAGGTAATGGAAAACCATCTTGGAAATGGGCAAGGAACCAAACTTGAGCCATGTCTTTTTGTTCCCCACATTTGGTGGTATTCTCTCTTAGGAAATTTCAGCAACCTCAAGCAAACATGAGACAAAGGGGTCAATTGGCCCACAATTTGCAGCAATGGTTAACAGGACTGCCCAGAGACCCTAACACATTTATGAAAGGAAGAAGTGAAGCAGCAATTAAAAAAAAACAACTGAGGAGATAATGATAGGTAGGAAGATGAGCTGGATTATTGTATAACAGATCTTTGTAAGTTGTCAGGTGTGACACAGCCTGTGATGTCTTAACTTCTCTGCTTTCTGGAAATGCATTGGACATTGTTCTGAAGGTATGGGTGGCAGGCCAGATTGGGAGGCATAAAATTCAATGGTGGGAAAGATGAATCAAATACCAGGAATGAATAGCATTTTTAGTTGGAAAGACAGCTGGTTTGCCTGCAGACAGATGGTTAAAGTTCAAGGCCACCTGTTGCATTCTGATCAGTATCTGTAGCAATTATTACAACTGGCTCACCTTCCCGTTTAGTCATTGCCTGAATATTAAGTAACCTGAAGAGCTTTCTAAAGATAATTAAATTAATGCACTTTCTGAGTGAATGTCTCACATTCATCCTTCCTTATGCCATTAAAAAAAGAGATCGCAATGACCTAGCACTCTGTAAATCATATGACAAACAGTTCTAGTCAGCTGAACAAACAAAAGTAGGAGCAGTGTTATAGCAGTTGCTTCATAGATTTTCTATATTTATACAAAGGGGGAGGAGTTATGAAAGAGGAGTTATGAAAGAACGGAGGGGAGGAGTTATGAAAGAACAGAGGGAGAAACTGCTTGGTTCTGCAGGAACAGCGAAATGGAATAAAAGAATCTCCCTTTTCAGGCCGAGGATAATTCACTAATGGGTGATATGTTCATTAACAATACAATTGCTAAAACAGATTCTCCATGTTGCCTGTTGCTGAAGAACAACACTAGGGTGTTGCATTTGTGTGCTCAGCCTTTGACCTGATCCTGCAGAGCTCTCTCTATTCTCTTATGTTAGAAAAGGTAGTATGTTTCTTCCTCTACTTCTTGGATGGGAAACGGGGGAACAGAAGATGTTTCTGTTCCTGTGCCCCAGTAATGAGCTTTGTTGAACATGTTGGGGTCATTGTTGTAGTGCAAGATCATTATTGTCGTTAGCTGTGTTACAAATTGTCTCATAAGTAAAATTTCCTGTTCTCTTCATAAATTACAACCATGTATTAGAACAGGGCAGATCTTAATGCTCACAGGGTAACTGCAGTTCCCACAGGGTAGTATCCATTTCTGAACACTCATCACTTGGTGGATTCCCACAGGACAACATTTTCATCTATTATGTATGGTAAGAAGATGAAAAGGTTGCATTATTAACCGGTCACCTGGATCCATTCAAACTCTCTCTCTCTCTCTCTCTGTGTGTGTGTGTGTGTGTGTGTGTGTGTGTGTGTAAGAGAGAGAGAGATCCCTACATTTGAGGTAGATTTCATGCCAATTTCACCCTGAATGTATGGGAGAACTCCCCATTTCATTACTGTGAATGGAAGGGAGCCGCACTGTAGCAGAAACCCACGAGGAAAATGGCTGCACAAGGCCCCTGCCAAGGTTTTGGACTACTAGATTAAATCCTGGAATAAAAGAGTCTCCCTTTTCAGGCCGAGGATAATTCACTATTGGGTGATACTGTATGTTCATTAACAATACAATTGCTAAAACAGATTCTCCATGTTGCCTGTTGCTGAAGAACAACACTAAGGTGTTGCATTTGTGTGCTCAGCCTTTGACCTGATCCTGCAGAGCTCTCTCTATTCTCTTATGTTAGAAAAGGTAGTATGTTTCTTCCTCTACTTCTTGGATGGGAAACGGGGGAACAGAAGATGTTTCTGTTCCTGTGCCCCAGTAATGAGCTTTGTTGAACATGTTGGGGTCATTGTTGTAGTTCAAGATCATTATTGTCGTTAGCTGTGTTACAAATTGTCTCATAAGTAAAATTTCCTGTTCTCTTCATAAATTACAACCATGTATTAGAACAGGCAGATCTTAATGCTCACAGGGTAACTGCAGTTCCCACAGGGTAGTATCCATTTCTGAACACTCATCACTTGGTGGATTCCCACAGGACAACATTTTCATCTATTATGTATGGTAAGAAGATGAAAAGGTTGCATTATTAACCGGTCACCTGGATCCATTCAAACTCTCTCTCTCTCTCTCTCTGTGTGTGTGTGTGTGTGTGTGTGTGTGTGTGTGTAAGAGAGAGAGAGATCCCTACATTTGAGGTAGATTTCATGCCAATTTCACCCTGAATGTATGGGAGAACTCCCCATTTCATTACTGTGAATGGAAGGGAGCCGCACTGTAGCAGAAACCCACGAGGAAAATGGCTGCACAAGGCCCCTGCCAAGGTTTTGGACTACTAGATTAAATCCTGAAGTGAGCTCTTATAACATTTCATATGCACAACTATGAAGATTTACACCTTTTCACTTCAGGAGAGTTGAGAAGTTCTGATGACTTCTGCTTTGAAGAAAACACTTTACCAAAACTGTTGCTGATTTCTGTTTATAATTTCTATTTTTATGTCAGCTCTGGACTCAAAAGAAGGAAATATCAAATATTAGGAATATTATAGTAGAATAGAATCTGGACTGAGTACATCTGAGGGAGAAAGTTCACTGTGTCCCATCACTTTGCAAGCAGAAACAGAGCTTTCAGACCTGTAAGCAGCATGAAGCTCCAAAATCTATAGATGGCAACACGTTATGATCCTTTATGATACCCCAGATTAAGTACCCTTTATGATTTTATCATTTAAAATTTTCCAAGGTTGCTAGTGATGTCAGCAATTTCATTTGTTTAGTCTACAGAAAGGAGGTTACAAGAATTATTTGTAAATGAAGGAGATTCTGTTAATGTTGATATGTCTACAATAATTTATGTTTTGAAGGGTAAGCCATCCATTTTGGTCTTCTGCTTACATCCAACTGTGTTGCCATTGCTATATATGTGTGGACACAAACTTAGAAGGCTTTATTATGTCACAATAAGATGTTTTTCCTGTCTAAAACAAACACAGAGAATATGAGCCTCATTGTGCACCTATTCTCCCACAATTCCATCCACAATGCTGAAAAGACACATCTGTCCTCTTGGAATATATTTACATGACCACGTAAATAGTTGAGATTGTTAAAATCCAGGAGTATCACCCTGATATTCTGAGAAATAGGTCACTACCTACAGAGCACACTTGTTGACTTACTGTATACACCCAAATACTCCAACTACCTTCACAGGAATGGAAAATATTGTTGCTATATTCAAACTGACCACTGTATAGCTTACTTTCACAAATAAATGAAGAAGGGTCTATCCCGGCCTGGACTTTCTTCAGAAACTCCACAAACGGTTTCCATCTATATGAAGAAAAATCTCAGAATTAGCCACACAATGGAAATGCCAGTTTCCTTTACATTGTTAGCAGAGCAGATAGCACCAAGCAGCCTCTGAATTAAGATGGGAATTCAGCCCCTGAAAATCAAGCTGCTTCACAACAAACCATAAAAGTCAGGGGTGGGATTAGGGATAGGAAGGAAAGAAGGAGGACTGTGGGCTGGAATGCCAAACACAACACATCCAGTATGAACACTGAGCTCCTGAAATGTTCCACAACATCTGTGCAAGCACTGGTTGCAATTTTAAGTGCAATAGTCCACAACATCTGTGCAAGCACTGGTTGCATTTTTAAGTGCAATACAGGCTTCAAAGCAAATTGAAGCAAAGTTCAGTCCTTCCAGTTTGGCGTTCTGGTGTAGTCACACCTTGAGTTGGGAAAGACAATAGGAATCCAAATTCTAATGAACTGTGATGGAGAGGGAGTATGCCAGGGCTGCTCTCTCACCTCTCAAGAAGGCAAGATGTTTCCTCTGTACTCTCCCAGGAAGGACCAAGAGAGGACAGGAAGTGACATAATCAATCCTCCAAACAGGTCAACACAGGAAGCAACTGTATGTCAGGAATTATTTTTCTCTCTCGTTTCTTTCAAGACAATGTCATCAAAATATTCATCTTATTTTTGTGCAAGAAGAATAAATCTAGGACTTCGTATTTTTCCTCAGTCACATGCCACATTCTATTATTTTTTCCCTTCATAAGATAAAGAGAGGACATTAGTTTGTGCAATGGGATTTAGCTCATGTGACTATAATCACTCATGAAGGTTTATTGATCTTAAAACACATTTAATCACACAATGGCTCAGAGCAGGAATCTTGCTAATTACAGAGGAGTTTCATTCACAGTGGGACTTCCAATTAGAACAGACGATGCAAAGCATTCTGCCACGCAAAAACACAGAAATTTATTTTGTTCATATTTGATTTTTTTTAAAAAAGATATATGTAAATTACATAATGCTGAGAATTCTAAGCATTGCTAAATGTTTTGTTATTTTTTAATGAACAGCTTTAGTTAAGGCATGTGTTTGCAATTTATTTATCTACAATTTCACAATGAGGATAATAAATATTATAACACTATCCTGAGATCAAAGCACGAGAATAGGCAGGATTAGGAAAGTCACAATAAAACATAGAAGGCAAAACCCTAAATAGAGATTAAGCATCCTGGAAGGGCATAGCAGTCCCATTACTTGAGAATATAACACAAATTGTCATAGTGTAGCATAATATGGTTATTATAGTACAGTACAGATATACAAGGGTGGACTTTTTCCTGCCTCCTTGTATATTATATAAGATACACATATATAATATACAAGGAGGCAGGATAAAGGCTACCTTTCTATATGGTATATAATAAGTTGTATATAGGGCTGTAGTAAGCCATGGAAAATGAAACCAGAGATACTGGTCCCATGGATACAGAGGTCCTACTGTGGTACCAAGGAGAATTAATGCACAATACTGTGCAACAGAGGACAATAACTTGACCTGCTTCTTAGCTGAGTGTGTAGTGAAGTCACAAGACTGAAACAGAGGCCCTTACAGGTCCTCGCCTTTACATTTCCCCTTTCGGGGACTGAAAACTAGACAAGGATCTCTGCAGATATACTGTATATGGCAAAGTTTTGTAGAATGTGGATGTGATCAAAGAGGTTCAATGGAGGTCTAAAGTGGGGATTGGCATTGGGTTGCACACTTAGCCCCCAACATCCTTGACCCTTCAGTCCCTGGCCTTTTTTCTTTAGACAGCAACTCCCAGGGGGTGGGTCTAGAATTCTGCCCTCTTTTTGGAGCACTTGAAGGGGGGTCTTGTGTTTGTTTGACACTTGAGTAGAAGCTTGTGCGCAATGAGAAACCCTTGATGCGACAGAGTTCCCAGTTTTGCAAAGAATTATAGTTACTCCCACCAAATTCAAGTTCCTTTCAGCCTTTGCCATTCAGCCATGTCAGGATAGAGTAAATAGGGTGAGAGATGTTGGGGCAAGACTGTGTGTACACACATGAACCCTCCAGACTTTTAGTTGAGCACTTTAACTGACTGGACTTTTGGCTCACTTCTTCTATGGTCTTGGCCTGAAGGTAAAGTGGTGAGTTTAACAACAGGAATTTCCATGAAACTAAAGGATCAGTTGGGATGCACATCCTTGAAGTTAAGAAGCACCCAAGGTGGAAGCACTGCAAGCCTTCTAAAAGTAGGCGAAACAAGGAAGGAAGCATGCATTAAAACTCACAGTATTCTGCCTCTTCTACTCAGATCATAGGTGCTAAGCAAAGCTTCTGTCATCCCAGGGTGCAGAGGTAATCCGTGCTTTTGGCAAATCATCTCTATCTACAAATAAGACATTTTTTTTACTGCTGAACATTAGCAGTGTACAGAGGTACAAAGGCAAATTATGAAATGTAGGCACTCATTATGATGGGTGTTATAGTAACAAACATACACATCAATTATTCAGTTCTAGTGGTGTCTACTTCATCAAAAACTGATCTTTTGTAAAGCCAATGAGTCTTAACTGCCTATCCAAATCAAATTCATCCCAGACTACAGTGGTGCCTCGCTAGACAGTTACCCCGCATGACAGGGTTTTTTTTGCTAGACATCGGCTTTTTGCGATCGCTATAGCGATTCGCAAAACAGTGATTCCTATGGGGGGATTTCGCTGGACAATGGTTCGTCCCTGCTTCGCAAACCGATTTTCGCTAGATGATTTTGACAGCTCCCTCCATGCTCGCAAACAGGGGTTTTCGGGACCTAAGCTTTGCAAGACAGTGATTTAAACAGCTGATTGGCGGTTCACATAGCGGCTTTCCTATGGCCGATCTTTGCTAGACAACAACGATTCTTCCCCATTGGAACACATTAAGCAGGTTTCAATGCATTCCAATGGGGAAATGCTTTTCGCTAGACAATGATTTCGCTAAACAGCGATTTCAGTGGAATGGATTATCATTGTCTAGTGAGGCACCACTGTATTTTGGACTGAAAGATAGTTCAGTACATTGTTGTAGGGCACAACCCCTTCTGAAGCCACTGTTAATATTACAGCTAAATCCAGATGGGGCAGAGAAGCTTGAAGGGGATGGGTGGCAAATGCCACGCCCATCCCTGTTAACAAAAATGTTCTGGCACTTCCATCCAGGCCTGCAACACCATAAATTAAAAGAAAAAAATCATGGAAAATAAGATTGATTATGAACAAAGAAGAGAAGTGCCAAACCTTTTGTCAAGCTATTTTATAACCCATGGACCAACACTACATTTCCTTGAGAAATGGTTGCTCTAAAAGGCCTCTCCCGCCTTCGGGAGGTCGGGCTCCACCTGGTATAGGAGGTGGCCTCCTCCCCACACAAATCCTACACTGTCCTATCATGACCCACTTGTCTTCAGTCAGTTTTATGCAATTTATAACAAAAATGTCAGTAGAGAGCTTAATTAGGAAACATGTCAGTCAACAGTGACAGTTTTGAAAGCTTGAAATTAAATAAAAATTTAAAAACAGCAGGCAAGAGTACTGTACATGTGAGCACGATGCACTCAAAGTCAACAACATTTTTTAAAGTGAGAAATATTGGATCGTGGAGCAAAATATTATTTCATAAAAAAAGGAAAATAGATTCATTAAGAAGCTGTCATATAAAATTAGATAGCCTGCATTGACCCTCATGCTAGTTCTTGTCAGCCATGGAGGCTGACAGAAATCAATATAATGTTATTTCCTTATCACATTTCAAGGTGCCCAAAATTCTCTGCAGAAACATCTTTTGATTGCTGAATCGGGATATCCAGACCCTGAACCGAGTTCTTTTGCATTTTGTCCAAGTTACCTTTTGCAACTGGGATTTCACTGGGTTGCTATCTGGAGATGGGGAAACTAGAAGCAACTTAAGGTCTCTGAATGATTTGGGACAGCAGCTTTCATGAGTCCCATACAGCATATTGACTGGTGAGGTGAGCCTTCACAGATTTTCTCATCTTTTACCAAAAAAAGTGTTTCTTGAAACCTTCAGATACCCAACTGAAAAATCAACAGCTGCAAGATTCCCCCCCCCATGGTTGCACAAGATTAAAAGACCAGGAATTGTTTTCAGCAAGAGTGGTAGAAACAAAGGTTGTTGCAAACATTGCACAAGATATGACAAAAGTACACACATTCCCAAATATGATGGACATATTTTGTGGGGAAATGCAGTTGTGTGTATAAGGCAAGGCTTTTTTCATTAAATAAAATGTCTTCCCCCAAAAAATCCCATAATGTTTTTGCAAATAAAGTTCTGAAATGCAAACCAATCCCACCCCCACCTGAAGGACTCTCAAAAGCTTCTTCAGTATTTACATTTCTCATTCTTACCTTCAAGAATGAAAGTAAGAAATACATTCCTGGTAAGGAGATCCATATAATAAGAAAGTGCTTCTGTTACAAACAATGCAGCTAGTAAAGCATGATAGCTCTGTATACCTCAGAGAATGACAGGAGACCCGAGGAAGTGTTGTCTTGTTCTAGAAAACTCAGGCTTAGTTTTCCTAAATCTAGTTCTTTATGTTGTTTCAGGATTTGTTTCAAAGCCTGGACTGCGTCTTCTGGAGTCCAAGAGCTAGGGAGTCATAATAGACACAGTAGAGGGGTATTATTTTTAACAATAACACACTTTTAGTCTGTAGTTCCCTCCTGGCACAGAAAATCAGGTGTCCTGCCCCAAAACATCCAGCTGAAAAGATAAAGGGGCACTTACCCAGTAATATTGCACATCTTGGAACCCAGCCATAGAATTACCATTGAAGGTGCACAGGAGTGCAGTTCTGCTTATTGTGTGACCAGCCAAAGCAATGTTTCATAAGGCAATTCTAAAAACAGGGGGCAGTACTTCCCAAATAATGTAAATAAATGAAAGTGTTTAACTGAGCTTCAGATCAGAACAAAATATGGTGTGACAAGACTACATAGTCTCCTTTTGCCCTGTGCCACACTTGGGAAAACAATTTCCAGGTTATGATTTTTAAAAATGGATGACTCCCCCCCACACACACAGTTAACATTTACTTAACCATAACATCCAGTGGATAGGAAAGTCCTCCAACAGACTTCAAACACCAGACTTCCTTCTCTTAAAACCCTATGATTTATCCAACCCACTTCCCTTTATTTGGATGATATCCATCCTGTGGAACTTGTTGAAACACACCTGCAACAATGGTTTTGCGTTTGAGTGATAATTAGTTAACCGAAGGAGGCCTGGACATCAAATGGAGAAATCCAGACTTCTGAATATCTATGATACCATAATAACATACAATTCACCAAACTGTACAAGAGCCTCCTTCAGGCACTAGAGACATTGAAGCTGCCTGATAATTGTAACCTCACTTGGGCATATAGCTTGGCAAAATGCATTAATAATCAAGTCTGACCAAGTCATTTTGGTACCTGAGGCTGAAAATCCCCCAAGTACCTCTGTGTGACAGTACAAAGACAACAGCAGTAGACTGAATAAATCTTCATTTCCTGCCCCTTCATAACATCTGATTAGTGCTCTGAAGAATTGGAAAGAGAAACTAATTTAATAGAATCATAGAATCATTTTGTTGGATGAGGCCTATAATATCATCGAGTCTAGCCCTCTGCTCAATGTGGGAACCCAAATCAAAGCAAATCTGACCGATGGCTGTCCAATTTTCTCTTGAATGCCTCCAGCATTGAAGCACTCACCACCTTTTGAAGTAATTGGTTCCATGGTCACACTGCTCTAACAGTTATATATTTTTTTTCCTGATAGCTGAAATCTGACTTCCTGTAGCTTGAACCCATTATTACATGCCCTGCACTCTGAGAACAGATGCTGCCTTTCTCCTGTATGACTACCTTTCAAGTATTTGAAAAATGCTATCATACATTATCTCTCCTCAGTCTTCTCATCTACTTCTGTTCTGCTGTTGTATATCTTTGCAAAACTGAATTAATTTACCTATTAATTGGGTTCATGGCTCCTATTCCTAACTCAGCATGTCTTTAATAAATATCCAAGTGAGTTAATGTTGTGGGAAACTTCATTTGAGAGGAGAAGCTGCTGTTCTTTTACTGCTCCTTTGGCATTAGTCCTTCTGATGTAGCATCAGGAGCTTAGCAACTGCAGGAAGGTACTGACCAGGAAAGTAGGTGGCTGGTTCCCAGTATTCTCCCAAGTCAGTGACGGATCTGTGGCTGTACCCTGACATGTAAATAAGCCACACTGAACTAATTTGTTACCTGCCGAGCTGTGGAAACCTTGGGGTAGGAAAAAAAAAGAACTGTTGTTTGTTTAATATGTAACCTTTCTCTCAGCACTGGGAAGCAAGGAGGCTTGTGGTGAATATGTGTGAAGGTGTACAGTATATCTATTTTGTCTGCTACACAGTCTTAGTACAGCCTCTACTTAAAATGGCCGTCACATAATAACATGCACATATCCAACAGTGAGACCATGGACTAGGAAGGTGTGCAATTATTATACATTCATCTGGTAAATGTGTTCCTAACTTATTTCCCCATCCAGATTAGAAGTGCTGGTGTGTGATGGGTGCATATATACACACATAGGCTGTGCTAAAAATGTTCTTTTAAAAAAACTCACAGAATCTCAGAAGCGCCACTGAGTACAGTGGGCTTTACTCCTAGGTAAGAGGGCATAGGATTGCAGCCTCACGTTCCTGAATTCCCAGATTACCACAAACCATGCAAAATATACCATACAAATGCCCACATCTGCCTGCCAGTTTTCTCTGCCAAGGTTAATTAAGAGAAGTCTACATAATGTCCACAGATACATCCCAGCAGTCTGTAGAGTAGGTGTTCACAAATTCAAAGCATATTACTTCAGCAGAAGTTTTGGATGGCTGTGTGAGAGAAAAATCTGTGCTTTTAAGTGATATATAAAATTATTTTCAAAGTCATAAGTGAGCCAATTTTTTTAATTTGGTATCACTGTGAATGGCTTATAATAGCAGGTCCTTAACAGATGGAGACAAAGAGGAGTGGGTTTTTTTTTTTTTGACAGATATATTGCTCATTTATTGACAGTAAGAGGTAGGCTAAAACTTAAAATAATACCTTTGGTTGCAATTCTTTTCATTTTGACTCTTCTGTAGAAGGGCTGGTCTTGGCTGTATTTTATAGACTGCCACTAGTTTTAAAAATTGGAACAATTTTTCATAATATATCTGCAAGAAAATCAAAGAAATCGAATTTCAAAAGGGAATGAGAAAGAGAAAGCCCCTATCAGGTCATTTGTGTTATGTTCCCCCATTCTTGTTGTCTTGCACTCCAACAACCCTAAAGAACCCTTACAAATTACTCCAAAAAAGCAGAGGCAAGGCAACAGAAAAATCAAACCCAAAATGAAGTTTTTAATTTTTTCCAGAAAAAAAACATTCAGCTGTGTAAAAACAATTTTTTTACAAAAATAATTAAAGTTAATAAATCTATTGATTAAGTCAAAGAAGTTCAAAACTGTAGCAGAGCCTGGAAGTAACTAGTTATAGCTAATTATTTACTTGTAATTAATTATTTTACCCAACAACTGAGATATGGGTACAACTGTAACCTAATGAATGATAATATCATTTTTGTAATATGATTAACTTCTGTAATCCCAAGAGTGTTACCTCACGCCATGGTAGAAGAATATTACTTGGTTCAAGTGCTGGTCTATGGTACTGAATGAGGGACATTTAGCCGTTTCTTTTTCCCCAGAAAATGACTAAAAGCAAAAAATTTATTTATTTTGAGAAATGGGCGATAATAATGTGTTTTTAGATGTTCTGCAATTGTAACTAACCCTTTTTTCAAGACACAGAAGTATAACTAGATACTTTTTAAAATAGCTTTCCTTTCATATGAATGCTACTTACACCTTAGTTCTTTTATTTATTTATTGAGTTTGTTTTCCATTTTTTTACACAGAGACAAAGTGGCCCATAATTAAAATCCCAAACTATTAAGTCAACTATTAAAACACAATGTAATTATAAGCACAATTTAAAACAGGGGTTGGACAACCTGTGGCCCTTTGTATATTGGGATGTCATAGAGGCAGAGCAGGCAAGACTTTATGAGGCCAAAACTGCTTCTGGACCAACTGAAATGGGCATGAAGAGAATCAGGGTTGAATGGGCCTAGAATCCAGGTAAAACTTTGCTAACCAGATCATGGCTGTGCAGCCAACAAAATGCATAGGATCATAGAATCAAAGAATAATAAAGTTGGAATGGACCTATAAGGCCATCGAGTCCAACCCCTTCCTCAATGTAGGAATACAAATCAAAGGGTATCTGCCAGGTGGTTGCCTCCAATGTCTGCAACTGTTACCATCGATCCTGCTAGGATCTGCGTCCTGTGTGGCCTTTCCTGAAGCACACCTGGCACATGGGAAGTTTACAAAGTTGTTGAATGTGCACTGCCAGCACAGAGAGGTGTACCTGCCCTCCAGGCCCTCTTCTGGTTCTGGCTGGGCTTGTGGAACAGAAAAAGCCATGAGGCACAGTGATGGTGCTTGACATACATACAGCCACTGCTTCTCTTCCCAATTTTCCCCTGGCTTCTTCTCCCCACTCCCGGGTGCATATGTTGCACAAGTATACCCCACATTAATAACACCTTTCCTTTAAGCCAAGGAGCCTTACTATCAGCCAATGCTTGGAAATGTCACTTTTAAAGACTACTGTTCCTAGAATCCCCCAGTCAGCCACTTATTAGAGTGGATTGCAAACAGAGAATTCTGAACACCACTGGCAAATTTTAAAATCCAGGATTGTTTGGAGTTGTAGGAGAAACCGGAACAGAAGAAGTGGTATAAAACTGAATCAGGTCTATAATATTAATAGAATCAAACTGCAATTCAAATCTACTGATTCTATCCACTTCTATAGGATTCTACCCACCGGAGGTAAGAAGGGAACAGCCTGTACCTTGGAACATAATTAGGCTGTAAATTAAAACATTAGTCCAGTATCCTGGCCAAACAAAACACTGCAGGGCTTTTCATTTATCTTAATTTTGAATCTATCATAACTAGAAAATTAAGATTAAATTTATGCGTATACGATGGAAGGAACAAGTCCTCAGGCAATAGTTACGTACGTTAGCCATACATCTGTTGAGAAATTGCTTTTGCTGTAAGGTTTCTACTTTGACAAGGCTGGTGGATATAATGTTGTGCCTAGGAGGACATAGAATAAGCAGTATGGCAAAATGGAAGGGAGGAAGTTTGAAATCAGAGAAGCTTAGCCAACTGGACACACAGAGATATGTTACAATATCAGGGAGAAGTAATGAGCCAAAGAGAGATACCAAGCTATGACAATTGGAAGGTGGGGCAATACACTTCAGTGTATCAGGTGGGCAAAGATTTTAAAAGTGTACAAGTGTACTGGGACATAAATACAGAACTAAAATGTGTCTGTTAGCCCTGCCCAGCCCAGTTTCTAGCTATATAGTGCCAAGGTGGGAAATGTATTTCAGAAAGTCAGCTTGTCCTCTGCACATTTAAGAAAAATGAGAAGCCATAAGAAGAGGTTTTTGTGTGTGAAAAAGCTGAGCCATAAATCAATTATTCTTTAGATCCTAGCATACTTGTTCAGATGTTACTCTGATTAGCATGTTGGCATTATCAGCATTTGAGGTGGAGTATCAAAAAACCTTTAAAAATCATTTTTCTGCGTACATTGCTTGTCTTCTCTGGAGTCTTTGACCAAGCAAGAGCAGTACCGCTTTACGCCACCAACACTGAGTTCAACCTATTGCCCTGTCTTACATGTTCCATTCTTTTCTGGGCTTCAGGGTGAATATTTTGGATCTACAGCACCTCCATTTATCTTCTCTCCTCCCCTGTCTTTCTTTCCATGTGCCTAAATTGGATCATACATGTGTTCAGTGTGCTTGGTGGATGGAATGATAATCCAGGCCCTAAAGTGTTCAAGAGTGTGGCAGAAGCTTTTATCATGTCAGTTGGTTCAAAATACCTTTTTAAATGTATGGAATTGTTTAAAATATATTTTGATTTTAGCATATTTTTAATTAGAGGGGTATCTTTGGCCCCAAACACTAATCTGTACACTCCTACATTTTATAACTCAATTTTTCAGCTTTTTAAAATACCTAGCTGATTGGTTTAAAATGTATACCTGAAGGACCGCGTCCTTCCAAATGAGCCTACCTGGCAGTTAAGGTCTAGCCAGGGGGCCATTGTGAGAGAGCCGTCCCTCAAGGAGGTAAGAGGGATGGCTTGTAGACAAAGGGCCTTTTCGGCAGCTGCCCCCAGACTATGGAATGCCCTCCCGACTGAGATTCGTCTCGCGCCAACGTTGATGACATTTTGGCACCAGGTCAAAACCTTCCTGTTCCAGAAGGCTTTTAATTGAAATAACATCAACTGTGGGTCCAGATGGCAATTTTTGGAGTATCTATCTTAATTGTGTTTTAATCATTTTATCTTTTATTGTATTTTAATTGAATTTTAATTGTTGTAAGCTGCCCAGAGACCTTTGGGTAGAGTGGGCGGCATATAAGTTAAATAAATAAATAAATAAATAAATAAATAAATAAATAAATAAATAAATAAATAAATAAATAAATATTTTAAGAAATAGGCGTCTGTTATTTTGCTAGTAAACCCTATCCAGAAGTATCTGTCTCCACCACTCAAGGAAGTAAGCAGCCATCTTGGTGACTAATAGCCTTATCAACCTCATGAGTATGGCAGAGTCCCCTTTTAAACCTTAGAGTCTGGTATCATTACCACACCTTGTTTAATGCTCCAGCCTTTTACTGAATCAAATGGCGGAAATACAAGATTACAGAGTATCATTGATGGTGATAGTTAGAAAGAAAACCCATCATTGGCAAGCATCCTGTCAACATTTGTACACACAGAACTTCAACCACAGGAGCTGTAACAACAACTGGTGAAATGTAGGCCATGCATCTGGTCTCATGCCAACTGGCTTCTTGAATCACCATGACGGCTTCTGCAGTGAAAGCTCTGTACACACTTAAATATTTAGCAGGATACTAGTTATATTGTACTGTAGTTTTAAAATCACATTTTCAACATCACTACTAAGCAAGCCTTTTTTAAAAATTCCACCTGTGAAGGTCATGATTTTAAACTTTTTTGGTCACAATGGATGATAATAGAATCAAAGAATAATGGAGTCGGGGGTCTCTAAAGCCATCAAGTCCAACCCCCCTGCCTAATGCAGGAATCCAAATAAGAGTATATCTGATTTTGTATGAACTTACCAATTCCTGATCATTTGGCTTTGAATATTTCTTGAAAAGGAGTTTAACTGTTGGTAATTGCAGAGGGACTTCATGTTTTAGAAGCAAGTGACTCAGCTGTGCCTGAGGCACAAATCCCGAAACTCTGGGATCCAAAAGTTTGCATTCTTCATGCAGCTCATCTAATGTGGAGATACTCAGAGGAGTTGCCTCAAGCTCCTTTCTCAGGACAGCCAAAAGAGAATCATACTCTTTATATTTCTCTGTGGAATCTTGCACGGTATCCTGAAGAAAGCAGTAGATAAGGTTTAGGGATAATTAATTTTGCAGTAATTGGAACTTATTCACTTACTATATCTGTGTGTGATGGGAATAACAAAATGTCTAATATAGGGATACATTTGTAATAATGTTCACCCCCAATATTCATTCATTGATTCATTCTTTCATGGCAACCCACAACATCAAAGTGAGCTAAAAATATAATTTAAAAAGAATAATTCCAGGCATTAAAACACAACAGAAGAAGTCCAGTGTTGGGGAGCATCCACTAGCAGAACTGGTTTTGTCCAGTTATTCATGCACCACAGAAACCTGCTTCAGAGGGGTGAGGAACTCTCCAGAACTCATTTTGGGGTAACAGTGAGAACAATGAATGGGGGTGGGAATCCATTAAATCAGATATTCCAGATTAAAATACATTCTTTACACACTCACAATAAGCAGAAAACCTTAGAACTGAATTCCTAAGAGTTAAAACAGGCAGAAAGTTCTGAGCACATAAAAACAGGTGCAAAAATTATTAATCCTCAAATTATTTCTTTTTCTAAGTGTACTCAGAAATAATAGAACCAGCACCTGGGGGGGTGTACGGCAAATTCTGAGTGTCCAAAATATGCAACTTTCCATTATGAGCCATTTTAGTATTGGTAAGTAAGCATCCAACAATCACATGCCCAACAACTGGGGCCACAAATCTCTTCAACTGTATTAAGTTTTATTACCTGTTTTCCTTCATGTTGCCTTACAGTCTGAGGTCCAATGCATGGTTTTTGGAGTGTGTGAATGTAGGAGAAAGACTTATCTCCACAGGGAGCTGTGACACAGTGTGTATTTAGTGGTCTTAAATCCTTGAATAACAAAATTGATATGATAAAAAGCCATTATCTACAGAACAAAAGACAGTCATTACAAGAGCATATGAAATATTCTGTTTGTAAGCAACAGAGATTATACCTATACTTGGAAGATCTAGGCATAAAAATCTCATATCTTTTTGTTAAATGATCTTCAGCTCATCACTAGGCTTGGTTACCCATGGGGGGAAAATGTTTTTGAATCAGGATTAACATCTTTCAAATTGATTACAAAATTTTGGTTATAGGATGCACAGGGAAGCACAGATTTTTTTTCTTGGGAAGTGAATTTTTTGGTTGGAAAGTGAAGTATTTTATTTGGCCATGAGAGGGTGGTTTATTTTAAATCATTTGTGAATGAATTTATTTTTATTATTATTTTTTAACATGTGAACATCTCTGTTGTTGTAAATTGCGTCTGTGGGGGTTTGTCAAGTAGTGGATGCCAGGACCATGGGGTTCAAGTTGGAGAAAAACATTGTAAAACACTGCTGTTTTTTAGTACCTGGTTGCAACAACGTTTTTTGATCACCTTTTTTATTTACCACTTTAATGATTGCTTATTCAATAGTAGTAGAGGAAAGAGATAGAGAAGGAGGAGCCTAATGTCAATTAATTCATAGGCAAAACCAGATGAGTTGGCAGCTTCACAGTTAGACACAGAGTTCCCTTAAGAGTTATTCCTACCATGAGGTTTTGCAATACAATTGGTTCCAAATTAGCTTGTTTTACCTGTCATCAGGAGATAAGCACACCACATTGACATGAAAACATTTAAAAAATATATCTTGGGAGGAATAATTGTCACTTTCTAATTGTGACACTGCCATTTGTTTCTTCCCTAATTGTCCCTATGGAGTAAAATGTGAAGCTGAATACGAAAACAGAGGATGACAAATCTACATGTTCTGCTTTCTGTCACCTTCACATTTCATCAGATACAACTTTTTTTGCATCACTTTATAAGTCTTTTCTAAAAGTCTGCACAAAAATTTGTACATGACTTTACACACAAATGTCCCTAATAAAAATATTTTTTCCAAGCAGGGGATCTCAATAAACGTTTTCCTGTACACCGTTTTATGAATTTATTGTGCATTTCTTCATCAGAAAACTGCCTTGTAAAATTCAGAGAAGTGTAAAAACTGCAAAATAATTGAGTTTTGCTTTTTCTTGTAGTTTAAGAACTTTATATCAGGTAGACTGGGGTGAAATTACAAACCAAAAACATTTCTCCCTGACCTCTGGAAGAAACGCATGAAAATAAGCCATTACAACAGTTGTAGTAACTCACTTGGTTGCCTACAGATCTGCTATCAGTTGCCTCTGCTTGTTTTGACTTGTACTCTTCCGTTTCACCTTTGTTCTGTTGTTCCTCACTGAGACGATAGCTGATTTGTTGACAAGGAAGCTTATTGAGGCCTGGAGGGTTTCCATGTGTCTGTCTTGCATTAGTGGGGAGCAATTTGCTCAGCATGGACTGTGTCTCAGCTTTCACACTCTGCTTTGCGCTGTGAGGAAACAGACACACAATATATCTATTGATACTCAGGCAAATCACATTTGTATCCATTTACATTACACACTACAAATATTTGTTTCTTGGAACTTCTTTTTTAATCAGGCAGAAAGAAGTAATTTAACCAGTGAAGTGAACTTAGTCTTTAATCACTGTAATTGCTATTTGTGTAATTCTGGACAGAGAAATTTGGAAAACAATTTTGATTTTAGAAAATTCTCTGAGGTTGAGCTTATCATCCATAAAAAGAAGTTACTAGCTTCTGGATCCTGTGTTTTGCGGATATGATGCATGCTAATTAGCTGAGTATTTAAAATAATTGTAAAGAAATCTTTTTAAATATATGTAATTGCACATCACTTTGGTAGACAGAGAAATTACTTAGAAATTCTCTACAAAATAAAAATAAGTGGGAAAGTGATATATTCATTAAAAACATCCTCAAAGTGGCATTAACAAGAGGAATTTCAAGAAAATTTAAGCAACAAACTAAAAAAATATGTCCCCAAATAAATTTCATGTTGGCTCATTTGTTCATGCAGGGAAGAGCTAAACAAATTGTATGGGCAAGTGGAACAGATGTGTATCTACCTCTTGGCCAACATATTACCAGGATATTTGTATGTGCAATGTCCAGATGGGAGCTTGGAAAGTTGTTTTCAAGAACAATATGGCCCTATTCAGGCATTTTCCTGATCCTATGTCAGATGGAAAGCAGGGCAGAGACTTGAGTATGCAGATGAATCCCTCCTTAAAGTCCCTCTAAATACCCCAAAGCATGTTGTTAGGTGTTTACATATTCAGCACAAAGGTTTGAGGAAGGCTCTTTAGCTGCATTTGATTAAAAGCTTTAATATTATTTCATAAGCTAAAGAACTAATTGTTTACAAACTCAGATGGCAGTCGATTGAACTGAGGTCAGTGAGGCACATAGAAAATTTGTTAGCGCAAATTGCGGTTTAGCAGAGTAATTCGCAGTCCAGGCAGTCCAGAAATAACTCATGCACGCTCCAGCAGCAGTTCCTCCACCAACGTGTATTTACAAAGTATTTACAGCAGTCTGGCAGCATAACGTGTAGCAATCATCACCCAGCAGGAAGATACATTGATTGTACAACTCACACTTATATACATATACAGATCTCCTTGTGCCCAATCAGATTACACATTGCATCATCCCTGAGTTTCATCATGCATGAGTCAGCACTGCTGAGTCATCATGACTTAGTTTTAACACACCTGTTTATTATGGCTTCTTTATTAATATACTCCATTCTGCTCAGGCCTGTAGTTTTCCTTGACAAAATTTAGGTGCACTTGTATTAGTTTACAGATTGACCTGCTTTAAATGCCCCTCTATTACCTTGAAAATCCTGACAATACAGGTTATCATTTAAAACACAGAGGCTCATCAATTTGCTGCAATTTCATTAATATAGTATCATAAATTCTGCACAGCCTCTCTGGTTTTTCAAACAATATTTTGAAAAAAGAGAGCATTACATAACCTCATTGATGGATATGTAAGGCTATTTCTTCCAGGTATCATACTCACCCCTCATGTTTTTCTACAAGGCACCGGACATATTTGCTCCCAATAATTTTTGTCACAATCTCATAATCTGCATTGAATCCAAAAGGAATGTTTCTGACAGAAGCCATCGCCAGCACTCTCTTCGGGAGGCCACTTTTCTGTAACATGAGAGCACACAACTTGAGAACTGCTCACCCACAAGAACATTCCCCTCTCTTCAAAAAATAGAATTGAAGAAAGGCAATTAGGGTTCCCTGATAACCCCAATTGTGCTTGTTTTGATCCACTTAATTTGGATGCAACCACATATGATACTTAACAAAACAATGAGAGCAGAAGAAAGGCTCTTGACTCAAAAGGTTTACACTTTGGATTTTAAGTAGTAGAGAGAGCAAGATGGAAAATTCATTATAAGAAGGGCCAACAGTGAGCCCATGCATTTACAGATAACAACATGTGTCCTCATAGGTCTAGGATGTTCTTTAGGAATCAGCTGGCATCAAGACTGTTGGCACAAAGCCAAACCATTTTATTCCTCTTTAAATTCAAGGCTGAATGAGAATTTCAGGTTGAGAAAAATCCCAGCTGAGTCGTCAGTTTTGGAAGCAGTTTTCATGTTGACCCTTCTCACGGTCAGTAGATGTTACTTCGTAATTGTGATTATGTTTTATTTTCACTGTCCTTTCAGTGTGTACCAGTTGTTGAATTTCTACATTTTAAGGAATTGTTGTTTCACAGGAATAAATTAGATACTTCCAAGGATCTAAGCTATACCCCCCAAAAACTATCCAGGTATTTCCTTCACTTCATTATTTTGTGTTTATAAGGCATACTGTACTATGGTGTGTAAATTCTGTCTCCAAATACCCTTTAAAATGTGGTTAAGAGTTCAAAAGCATGATGCCTCTTTATTTCACTGGAACTCTAGAGTCTGCGGTTGGCAATATAACCCAGCCGAGATCAGTCATAGTCAGTGCAGCCATCTGTGATCCAGAGACTTTATGGTGAGAGAGTCTCCCCATATATAAATTGCTGGAGTTAGAGTAGCCTGCTAGAAGTATTTCCTATTGTTTAATGGAAAACTGCAAAACTTCTAGACCGGTAAAAATGCAACAAATCCATGAGAAAAGATTGATTAATATACTCCATTCATTCTCATGACAAGAGAAGACTCCTTGGAAAAGACCTTGATGTTGGGAAAGTGTGAAGGCAAGAGGAGAAGGGGACGACAGAGGATGAGATGGCTGGATAGTGTCTGCGAAGCAACCAACATGAATTTGACACAACTCCGGGAGGCAGTGAAAGACAGGAGGGCCTGGCGTGCTCTGGTCCATGGGGTCATGAAGAATTGGACACAACTAAACGACGATGACATTTTTCATGCTGGTCCTGAACCATTCTGTAGACTCCTGGAGAACCATTGGTCACTGAAACAACTGACCAGTTGGTCATCTTATGCTGGGTCAATTGACTGTAGTCTTGGCACAGCTTTCCCTGACTCAGTGCCCTCCAAATATGTTGGATTCTAACTACTGCTATACTACTATCTCCAGCTGTATGTTATGGTCCAACATATCTAGGAGGTACCAACTTGGAGAGGGATGCCACAGCAAACCACTAAACAATTAACCAGACCAAACCAATTTTGCTGCCTGAAGAAAAGCAACAAGTCCCCTCCAAAAAGTGGAGGTACATAGTAGCCTCTGTACTGGCCACTATGGGTGCATAGTGCTCAAAGCTGGTAACATTATTGTGGCGGAATGCCCATATCCCACCTGTCCATCATGTGAAGCTCTAGAGCTGGAGCCTATGAGAGGACAGGAGGGCGGAGTCAGAAGGACAGTTAGGGACAGTTGGGAGACTGGGAGTGAATGAGAGAGGAGGTTTTGAGAGTTTTATGAGAGACAAGGGAAAGTTGATGTGGTATAGTTGGTTTATAGATTAAAGAATAGTTAAAAGATAGATGTATCATGAATAGACAGTCATCTGTTAGTATTTCAGTGATTAACAGTTATTAATATGAAAAGTGATGCCCATAAAGAAACTTATTTAATACCCAAGCAATGAGTGCAATGTAATGAAACATCTATGAATAAAACATTATTTTGCTACACAAGGCAGAAAATCCCACAAACATATATATATATATTTACTCCTACTGACAGATATACTCCTACCTGTCAGGTATACTCCTACTGACAGGTATACTCTTACCTGTCAGTAGGAGTAAATTAATTCTGTCGTCGTCGTCGTCGTCGTCGTCGTCATCATCATCATCATCATCATCATCATCATCATCATCATCATCATCATCATCATCATCACTGCTGTTTAAATCACCAAGACTCTTCTGCTCAAGACCAGGGTACCCGAGGTAGCTGCCTCACTCCGCCTAATGACATGGTTGGCCTTGAAAGAATACTTTAAATCACAAATACATCTTTTTCTCCATCCCTGCCAGGGTCTGGGATCACCCACCTTTGCTGTGTGCTCTCTGCTTTCTTTTCCTAAATGTAAAGGCAAAAGGTGTCCAGCTGCTACTACAATTGCCACCACCAGAATAAAAGAAAACAGCTTTCTACATTCACTGTAGTCAGGGATCTGTTACTAAGGACGCAGCGCTGTTGCTGGGCTGGACAACTTGTTGCTCCACAATCAGTGAAGTGGGCGGCATGTGTTCAGCTTGCAAATTACTGTTTGCCTGGTTTATGCAGTACCCTAGGTCTACCTAAAGAGTGATAACCAGAGTGTTTCTTTCAGGAGGACTAGCAGACTGTGAGCATTTAGAACAACAGAAGACATCTTAGCTTGTCCAAGACAGAGCTGCTAAGCTGTGGAAAAACAGTTTGCAATTGGGGTTCAGTAAAAGTTCACCAAAGCAACTTCTGAGTCTCAGCCCATTACCTCAAACCACAATTTTCAGAAGAGGAACAAAAAGCATAAGAATGAAAGATTGGGCCATAGAAGGGAGTATGGCTGCTTCCGTTTTCTTCAGGAGAAAGAATTATTTACTGCATTGAAAATATATCACAAGGGGTTAATGGTACTGAATTTAGCAATACTAGATTTCTGAAGGTTACTTTTGTGGTAATGGATTGGAAGATAAATAGGCTGAAGAGAAATATTGTGGGAGCGGAACATGCAGCATAAAGTGCAAGTGCAAGCTAAAATAAGAACATAGGAAAGCTATCTTATAAACTGAAACACTTACAGGTCCATCTTGAAACTGCTAGAAAGGCAACACTTTAAAATTCATTTAGAATTAAAAGTTTAAATGTACAAGGCATATGCATGAATATTAGAGATGTGGTCATCTTTGGTTCATGTGGTGGTCATGGTAAATGCTGCTTAGTTTCACAAGCAATATGAAAACCAGGAACACATGGGTTTAAATCAACTTGTTAATCCCAACTAACTTAGTTCCAGCTAAGGAATCCCATTGAATCAGCAAGGTTTACATAAGTGCTGACTTTATTCAGCAATTGGTTCAGTGAGTCTACAAGATTTGGGACTGGCAATTGGATTTAGTCCAATTATTTCTGGTATTTGTGCTCCAGAATTCAATGTAATTAATTCCTTAGGCTTGTCTTTCTCCCCTCTCCCATTTTATCTTCACAACAATTGCATTATGAAGGTTACTCTGAGGGAGAAAGATGAACACTAGGTCAGCAAGGGACTTTCTTGACTGAATGTCAACTAATGGATAGCGTGATGGACAAGGACTCATGAGGCCTAGGTTCATCAAATCCCCATTCAGCCATGGAAAGTCACTGAGGGAGTAGAACTGATAAAACCACTCATTAATTATCTCACTTACCTTGAAAGCCCTACTAGGGTTGCTATAAATCAGCACCAACTTGAAACCACTAACTACTATGTTTCTCTGTATATTGGCACACACATGTGGCAAGATTCCTGTGCTACTCAAGCATATGTATACATTTTATCTTAACTGGTGTAGATAATCTTCGATCTGCCATGAGTCTAACCCAAGTGGTAACTGGCCCTTTTCATGCTGTAGGACAGTGGTCCCCAACCTTAGGCCTCCAGATGTTCTTGGACTACAACTCCCAGAAGACTTCACCACCACCTATGCTGGTCAGGATTTCTGGGAGTTGAAGTCCAAGAACATCTGGAGGCCCAAGGTTGGGGACCACTGCTGTAGGACATTCCTTAGACCTGTTTTTTATATATATATACTGGATGGGATAGTGACAATTTGAGTGTGGAAGAGCTTCTTGTAATTCCATTGTCATGGATAGATCATCACCTGCTAGGATTTAGATTCACTGGCTCTGCGGGATGGGGGCTAATTAGAATGGTCCACCTTAGGATGCTAATGGATCAGAATGGTTTCCTGATAGCATCTATGGAACTTCCTGTTATTTCAGCAGGTGATTGACCAGTAGGGAAGTGGTCACAATGGTGGGCACAATTGCTCCCAAATATCCCCTCCTACAAAGTGGCCCCAAACCAGCCCCCAGGTTTATTAAGCATTGGCAGCAATGAAATGAACAAAATGGGGATTAGAGCAATGAGAGTGGAAGTCACAGAGCATGTCTGAGTGACCATGGGCTAGAGTACTCAATGACAGTAGTGACAGCAAAGAAGTCTTTCTTTTCTGCCACCATTGTGTAGTCATCTAGCACAGCGGTCTAAAATGGTCAAGTGCCTATTAACACTGTTTCCCAGAAGAAGAGAATCCAGACTATTTGTCAGCCTACTGTGAAGAATTTGCTCAACACTTTTTAGATACTACAGTGGGGGCAGCTTCTATGGCAATAAACTTGGCCTTTGCTTGTCCTGTGTTATGGGTAAGTTCCAGCTTGTACATACTGAGGTCAGGGTGCCTGGAAATCCATGTATGCTGGATCTTTGCACTTCAGGGCTGATAAAAGTGACTGATGATGGTGGTGGTGGGGATTGGCTGAGTGGATAAAGGGAGTGGTGAATGCCTCCCTAGAAGAAGGTAGTGTTTTAACCTGCCTAAAATAGGTTGTTATGTAAACCAGTGGTTCTTAACCTTGGGTAATCCAGGTGTTCTTGGACTGCAATTCCCAGAAGCCTTCGCCACCAGCTATGCTGGTTGGGGCTTCTGGGACTTGCAGTCCAAAAACACCTGGGTTACCCAAGGTTAAGAACCACTGATGTAAACTTTCTAGAACAGGCCCTCCTTAAACCATTTAGATTCACTTCATTGCCTAAGGAACTCCGGAACAATTTTTATGACACAGAAATGTGATGTGGACCTATAGGCAATTTAATTAACTCACAAAAACTAGTTAGGCAGTGTGTCTTCAAAAATTTTAGAAATTAAATTGTACAGATCCCAGATGTGGACTCTCCTCTTGATTTTGCCGGAGAGACCCATTTAAATATTACACAATCGCCTATTCTTCAAAAGATCAAATTTCATCATGCTAACCCGCTGACCCCCTTTTATTAAAAGTGGAAAAAGAGAACAGGGACTGTCTTGCTGCTTTGTTCTGCAGTAATTTGTGTGGTGCTATTAGTAGCCAACCACCATCTTTTGGAAACTTGGCAGTCCTGCAGGCTGCATGACAAGGAGAATCAGAACTTTCATATCATCACAGCATGGATTTTCCTTCTCTGAAACTACCGTGCAATCTGTAATTTTTAACCTCTCAAGTTTCAGATTGTACCTTAACATTTGTGAGAAACAGATGGCTCCTGCAAGCTGCCAACCTGTTGTTGAAAAAAAGCTTTTTCCACGAATTGTTTTCTACCCATAGTCGCTTAGCATAATTAACCTTTCATATGATTTAATAAACAGAAGCAAACTTTTGCCACATCAAATTAATAAAGAGAGCCACTTAAGGATACAGTTTTTTTCCCTTTATTTGTCATTATTCTTGTTTCTGTTCTTTCTCATAATAAAAAAAAATCATGTTCAAGACACAGGTCACTTAATTAATGTTGGAAATGGCTCCGGCACTAATGGATGTACACATGAAAATATTTTTGACTAACAAAACATGCTTTCACTTAAAAATAAATCTCAGCTATTAGGAGGGCCAGGCTTCAGGCAACAGCCTGTCGAACTAGGAGTGGTGTGCAAGCTAGTGATGTGGACTAAAGAGTGAGAGCAGGCAGTGGTAGGCGTTATACTGGCATAATTAATAAGGTTCTGGATGCCTGCAGTGAAAGCATTTTTTGCGCTACAGAATTTTCGGTATACGATGTACAAGTAGGGCTTTCAGTAGAAGCTAAAATTATTGAATTGAAGCTACTGTACTTTGAACATATCATGAGGTGGGAATCACCAGGGGAAAAAAGTAATTCTGGAAAAAATGGAAGGCCACAGGAAAAGAGGAAGAACAAACATTAGATGGATTGACCTCATAAAGAAATTATGTTCATCAATTATCTAGATTTGAGTAGGCTGTTAATGATATAATATTTTGGAGTTCATAAATGTGTAGGGCTATTATAAGGGGTGACTATATAGGCATTTCTCCAACTCTTTGGCCCTTTTTATTGTTGACCAGGCAATGAAAGTGCTAACAAAGACCAGCTTGTCCCCAGAGCATTTCTTCCTGCACTTTTCTGGTCCCCTGTCAGGGGCTACTCTTTTTTAAAGTGCAGGTAGGATCACTCCATTTTAGTTCATCTGCAGCCTGTGCAGCCTCTTGGACTGAACCGAAGTGGAGCATGCTGCTTTAAATTACTCTCCTGTTTTTAAATTTCCTCATATTGCTAAGTGGCTTAAGAAGCCAGCTTAACCATTTCATGATATTGGGAAATTAAGCACCTCCTCTGTTCCTTCATGGAGAGGCAGAGGAAAGAAGCAACACTTTTTTAAAAAGTCTATTAGAACAGTGATGATGTGCTACATCTCTTAGAAAGCTTAAAAAAGAAAAAGAAAACCAGAAAGAAGAGGAGACAGGGAGACAAATGGGTGAATGGTGGTTTCAGAAAAAAAATTCTTTATTTTCTCTGCTTTCTTAAGGAAGGTGGGCCAAATAGGGTGGTTTGAGGTATGTATGCCATGTGGATGCAAGGATTCAACCAAATGGTATAGCACGACCCCCATATGACCTAAAGCTAAGTTATTTAGCCTGATCCAGTCCACTTGAGTTGAGCCATCTAGCCAAACCTTAAGTTGGACATGGCTTGACAACACATAACAAGAAGAGTAGGCAACGGGTAGAAGCATAATTGATCCTAATGTGTCAATGTATAGCAAGCAGTTTCCAAACAGGGAGACTTTTGTGTATACATGTCTCCTGGCTTTCACTGAACTTGTTTATTGTGCAGAGCAAGATGGTAAACAGAGAATGGGTAATGTTTAAATAAAGTATACAGTTTTTCCTCTTCATGAATTGCTGCCTTGTTGTGGCGAAGGGGCTTGAGTAACGTAGAGAAGCTATGGGCTATGCTGTGCAGGGACACACAAGATGGACAGGTCATAGTGGAGAGTTCCAACTAAACACAATCCGCCTGGAGTAGGAATTAACAAGCCACTCCAATATCTTTGCCAAGAATACCCCGTGAACAGAAACAAAAGGCTAAAAGATATGACTCTGGAAGATGGGCCCCTCAGGTCAAAAGGCGTCCAACATGCTATTGAGGAAGATCG